TTGTGTTTCCTGTCACTGTGGGCTCCAGGGCACAGAAGTACAGAGCAGAGTCTGTCACTTTAGCAGAGGAGATCTCCAGATCCACATGGGTTTTCTTTTCATTTACTTTTCCAGAGAATCGAGGATCTTGTTCTACAATTTTAGACTTCTGTGAAACTTTCCCTGTCCTATGTAGTATTATCAAAAGAAATTCAGGAGCTGAGTTTGGGTATTGGCGATACCACTGCAGACTAACTGCTGAAGAGTAGTTACAGGACAGAGTTATATTGTCCCCCTCTGTCCCAAACACCTCAGGCTGGACTGGTGTGATGACATTCCCAAAACTCACACCTGTGAATCAGATTTAATCATATTAGCTCCATTCCATTGTCACGAAATACAAAAGCACAAGAAACAAAAAATATATATAAAAATAAAAATACAATTGAATAATGGACAATCTGAAAATATATAATAATATAAGAAAATAAATATAACATTCTTACATGCAAGAGTACAGAACAAAAGTAAAGAGATGAGCACCATTTTGCAGTGGATTAGTTCATCTGCTGCACAGAATGTTAGACAGCAAACCCTCACTGTGTAGCAGAGGATGTCTCCAGATAGCACCTCCCCTAAAACCTGCACTCCCATTAAAACACTTACTTTTGAATCTTTTACAGCAAACTTCAACACCAAACTGTGACAATTCCTGAACTGAAATTTACATACTACTGAATACTCACTAGATAAAATAAATAAAATGTTAAATAAAATCTTTAATCTCTCTAAAAAAAAAAAACCTCAACCATCACTTAACATAATATATGGTGTCTAACAATACTGTACAACAGTCAGTTGTATGTTTCAAGAACATTTTAACATGTCTGCCTCTGCTGGTACAACTTGGAAACACAAACATTGGTCTGGTGTGTTTGTCTAGTAAAACATATAATCTTTATTCTAAATCACCCTTATTTTATATTTGCACTAAATTGCTTTCCATCGCTACATGAGACTTCAAAGCGCTTGAAAACAGATGCAGATCTTTCTTTTTTCGGCTTGACAGGTAAATGCCTTGCTTTGTTAAGGTTAAGCCACAGCGGCGGGTAGTTGGCAAAGGGCGGGTTCTTTTTTCTCCACTGTATACTGTACTTTTAAATGTAAACACGTAACCAAAATTCATTAGGAGCCCACCTTCTTGGAATGACTTATATAGGCTACTTAAATGTGTATACAGTGGGTAAAATAATATTGAACACGTCACCATTTTTCCCAGTAAATATATTTCTAAAGGTGCTGTTGACATGAAAATGTCGGTAACAACCCAAGTAATCCATACATACAAATAAAACAAAACAAATAATTTCAGAAATTAAGTTCTGTGTAATAAAATGGAATGACCCAGGG